CCCGTAGCACAGTGGTTATGGCACTAGTCACATACCCCAAGGCTAGCCGGTTCAAACCCAGCCAGGGCCAGCTAAACAACAATGACAACTGCACCAAAAAATAGCCGGGCGTTGTAGTGGGCACCTGCAGTCCCAGCTACTTGGGAGACTGAGGCAAGAGAATCACTTAAGCCCAAGAGTTTGAGGTTGCTGTGAGCTGTGACGCTACAGCACTCTACCGAGGGTGACATAGTGAAACTCTGTCTCAAAATAAATAAATAAATAAAATAAAAATAAAAACCGAATTCTGGGTCTGGGTGTGGTGGCTCTTACCTGTCATCCTAGCACTTTGGGAAGCCAAGGTGGGAGGATCACTTGAGGCCAAAAGTATGAGGTTGCTGTGAGGAATGATGATGCCAGTACACTCTAGCCTGGGAAGCAGAGCAAGACCTTGTCTGCAGAAAAACCCCAATCAAACAAAAACCCAACTAATTGTAACTTATACTAGAGTTAGTGTAATTGCAATAAAAATGCCAAAGGATTTTATAAAAAACAGGGTGATTAAAGCTTATGTGAAAAATAAACAACTGTGGCTCGGCGCCCCCTAGCACAGTGATTATGGCGCTAGCCACATGCACCAAGGGTGGCGGGTTCAAACCCAGCCTGGACCAGCTAAACAACAATGACAACTGCAACAAAAAAATAGCCGGGCATTGTGTAGGCACCTATAGTCCCAGCTACTTGGGAGACTGAGGCAAGAGAATCACGTAAGCCTAAGAGTTTGAGGTAGCATGAGCTGAGATGCAATGGCACTCTACCCAGGGCGACATAGTGAGACTCTGTCTCAAAAAAAAAAAAAAAACCTAGAAAAAACAACTAGAAAAATTCTACCTACTTAAGAGTCCTACTAAATAAAAAGCATTACAAAGCTACAATGTTTATATCAGTGATGCTAGTCAATACACAGACATGAGGGTCAACTAAACAAAATATAAACACAAACAATTCACATATCCCTACACTTTGTATATTATAAATGTGGCACCTTGGGGAGCGATGGATTTTTTTGTAGTGGTAACAGAAAATTGGGTAGCTATCTAGAAATTACAAAGACAGATCAGCCCTAGAATTTTCCAGGGAAAATTCCAGATACAAATTTTAAATGCAAAAAGCAAAACCATTTTTAAAAATTAAGGAAAACCCACAGCATTTCTAATGAATTGTGTCTGGTGAATGACTGGTGATAGAAATCAATTCACAAACGTTTAGGAATCCTGACTTCACAAACAGATAGGAAATGCAAACACAAGTAGTTAAGGATCTCAGCAGTTGACCTGAAATAGGTATGCCAGTGTGTTCTATACATGTTGTCTCTGAAGTTAGCAAATTTATCTCTGTGCACATGACACTACTGAAGTTAGTAAATTTATCTCTGTGCACATGACATGAAGAATCTTGTTTTTTTTTT